CCAATGAGACAATCCCACATCTAGAACTGGAAACCTTAAACCTAGTTTTATTGCCTACCTGCTGCTGCCACTGCTGCTTTGCTGTTATGCTTGACCTCCTTTGCCTGCCACTTCTCTCTCTTACTTTAGTTCAATTGTAATTAATGTAAATACTGATAACTCCATATTCCAGAAATTCGAACAGAAAGGAACATTTTATCAAAGCAAAAATTGGGATTTGTGATCTTTATAGCCGTGACATCACATTTTGAGAAGAATTTATTTTACTTGTACTCAGAAGCACTGGGTAATTCTAAATTCAAAACAAAGGTTTTTTTTTTTTAGTTCAAGGTTGTTGCTAGCAATTAGGTAACTTGTTAACAAGACATTACATTGCCAATTTTGACATTGTTGAAATTGTTTTTAGGATCCTGTTTATTTTCTCAAAAAAGAAAATTAGACAGTAATATCCCAAGTAGCTGAGTGTTTTTTTATGTGAGAAAATATCAAGTGAGTCTCTGTGTGTTTTTAAACTATATTAATGTATCACATTGCAAGTAGAACTGAGTTACTGCCAATAAGAAAGCTTCTCTCTTAACTGATATCTTCCCATAATGTTGTTTCTGCATAAAGAACTCCTTATCTTTTGGGTGAAATTCCAACCATTAATGAATGAAATGATTCCATGCCAGGTGTAAGATGGCTGCATCTATAAAGACAATGAATGTAACAAAGAAAGATCAATTTTGGTCGATTTTATTTAGCGACATATCAACCTCTATGGGTTATTTAATGTCTTAATCTAAATATTTTGAACACAATTTTATGCTTTTAATTAAATATATTTTGAATGCAATTGTATGCCTTCAACTACAGATAAAATGTATTGTTGGTCATTTTTTTATATAAAAGTATGTCGCTGGTATTTTTACTATAAAAATGTATTTTTATACTTGCATAGTACTTTGTTTTTTGTTTGGGGGTTCACTATTTGCCCATAGCTTGGGACCCTAACAGGTGCTACCTCCACAGGTCAGGATGGACCAGGGAACAACATCAATTAAGATGTGGTTCCATGCTCCTCAAAACCCCCAATCTTATGATCAAAAGCCTTACTGCTGGATGTATTTTATCATCATACCCAGGACTAACAAAGAAAGTGAATTGATTCTTCTGCTACACTGAGGGATGAAAGTGTAGAAATGAAAACGAGTGTATTAAACAATTCAAAAGAGAGAAAAATCCAATCTTTATCTACTGGGCTGTGTTAAATATCTTAAAAATATCTGGTTTATTCTTGGCTAGTTGTGATTAACAGCTGGAGTTATGATAGAGCAGCAATACGATAAATGTGGTAGGAGTAGTAACTATCGTAAGGTTAAGATTAGTGATTGGAAAAACATCCTGTTGGGAGTCTGTTCCACAAAGCAGCAGTTTTTGGGAAGAAGCTGTTTGAATGGAACTAACTCCTTACTAATAGAATATGAAGAGAATGAGGATGATTCACCCTTGTGTACATGTCATGGCAGGTCCCAGTTGAAAAGGTCATGGTTGGTGGAACCAAGGAATGTAGCATGTCAGAACACTTGCCATGGAAATATAAATAAACTAGTGAAAGGCTCTCAATGTTTTGTAACTATGAAAGGGGTTGTAGGGTGGAAAATAATTTATCACATACAAGAATGCTTTTGAACTCTATCAAGATACACAAGTAAGGGCTGGGCAGCTCCAGCCCAGATATGATAGCAATTCATCATTTTTAGTTTGATCTGGCTCTTGTAAAGATAGAGTGTAGCAGGAAGAGTCAGGTACTTACTGGTATGTTACAATGAATTAACCAACCATTTTTCCAGTATCTTTAACTATTATGACGTCCTATTGTATAACATATACTCGTATTTGGTATAATGCAATTTGTTAAAGTATTCTCTATATGTAATGCTTAGGTTATTGCTGTATACTTGTATAGTTAGTATGAAAACTAACTCCAATACGACTACTCCAACCTCATACCATGGAACTCTTTATAGTATTGAATGAGTTCATAGAGTCACTGGGTGTGTACTCTTGACTCCATAATATTAACAATAGATCATATATATGAGTTCCACTTGAGATCTGGAGTGAGCTTGAATCCCAATAGATGTTTGAAGCAAAAAACCTCCTTCAGAAAAAACCCATCCATCATAAGAGGTGAATGTTTAGGGTTTGCTCAGTAATGGTGAAACATTACTAATTTGGTTTTGGAAATATTGAATTTTACAAGCCAGTCCTTCCCCTATTGAGCCACCTGGGCTAGGTCAGAGGAGAGATGAGCTGCTAGGGTCATCCATATTTTTAGAAGTGCATCTATAAACTGTTGTATCATCTGCATAGATATTCCCTAAGAATCAGTGTATGTTTATTTACTAAGCTTTGTATAGTGTAGTACAAGGCCAGTATACTGGGACACCCTTTGGAAACTGAATTTATTAGACTCATAAATTGGTTTTCAAGATAAACTTGATCTGCCACATAATTACTAAATTTAGTTTAGTCAGGTACAAAGCCACAATAGGGTATCCTATGGAGATTTGTCTTCTATATGTCATGTTCCATCGGGAAATGTGCGATATTGGCTCTCCACAACTTCCTGTTCTTTGTAGTTCTTAGTAAGGTCTGTCATTTTGCTATCTCTCTTAATCCCTGTTCTGCCAACCAATTACAAAAGTTCATTAGCTAGGTAATTTGCTGCTTTCCTCTGCCCCCTTGCATTCTCAATATGTTCTGTGCATGTCAAATTCTTCAAGCTTTCTTTCCTCATTATGTACCCTAGAAATTTCTCTTTCTGCTTCAAAGTACAAATGTCTTTTTTGTTTCCATTTTCCTTAAAACTTCCTACAATTGATGGTTATTCCTTTCTTCTCACTTTCCTTTAGTACCTCCTCTAGGAGTTCTTGAAATTTCCTTTCTGTGTCTGCCATTAATACTGTTTTATCTGTATCTGTCTATATTTCTGAGATGAGGTATTATGTACATTATTTACATTATTCAGAGTATTGTCCTCATCTTTGTCGCCATATTTATTACAACGTTTCGGCCGTTGTACACACCGGCCTTCTTCAGGTGGTTGGAATGTTGAACTGAACCCTTTATTTCGCCCACTGGGGTAGACTGTTCTAGTTCCACATGACATGTTTAATGGATATCAGCTATCTCCTGTTAATTTCCCTCTTACACAGATGTCCTCAAGGACACATGGTACAGTGGATAAAGGCGTTAGTTAGATCCAGTGACAGGACCCAAAGAGTGTGAGTTCAATACTCGGTTATGGTAGTGGAGAACTTTCAGAGGGAAATTAACAGGAGATAAATGCATGGTCATCAGTAAAAGGATGAGTCCAAAATGCAATTTACAGGTCAGGGACACTAAAATCAAGCAGGTGTGGAAATTTAAATACCTGAGAAGTATTCTGACAGAAGACGGTAAGTGCGACACTGAGATCTGAAGACATATTGGGATGACCAAAGACACATTCCAAAAGCTAGGCAGGGTATTATGAAACAGGAGGATTTTGTTGGTAAGAAAGAAAAAAGTGCTGAACTGCTATGTGATATCCTACTTTACAACAGTGAATGTCGGACAGTCTCCTCAAAGATGAAGAAGAGACTCAAGGCAACGGAAGTATGGTTCTAGAGAAGGATGCTAAGGATATCATGCACTGAACATGTGAACAATGATGAGGTTTTGGGGAGGATGCGAACAAGGAGGAAACTTATACTTAATATCAGGAAGAGGCAGCTGAAATTTCTGGGACACATAATGAGAAAGGAGTGCTTGAAGAATCTGATACTCAAAGGGCAGACAGAGGGAAAGAGAGACAAGGGAAAGCAACATGTGACATATCTAGTGGACTTAAGCAAGTGGATGACAGGGTTTTGGAGAAGTAGCAAAAGGACAAAACATATTGAGAACTACAAGGGATAACGGGAAGTGGAGAGCCATGATTGCCTACATCCTGAAGGGACATGGCACATAAAAGAAGAAGAAGGATTAATAGGAACAAGAGATGGGAACATCATTTATTACTTTCAAGCAGCATGACCATGTGTCTTTGTTTGAACGTAGTTTAAGGAGTTACCTTTAAAAGCTTTAGCTAAGAAAAGGATTGTAGGGGAGTTATAACTCTGAGTAAATAATTGTAAACCCACTAAAATTTATATATATATACAAAAATACTTGTAAAAATGAGAAACAGCAAAAGACATGGAAACAACAAAACAAGTATTATTTATTATCTGGTTGTTATGTGGTGTTGGAGAAATGAGGGGCAGTAATACCAAGTAAAAATGTGAGTTTGGGGTCAAATATAGATCAAATATGGATTGGAATCCAACAGAAGGATAAGAGAAAAAATAAGCAAAGTGTATACTCTCTTTCTCATTTGTTTTTTTTTTTTTAGATATATGTAATTTAGTTATAAAATACAAGAAACATCTGGGTATATTTTACCTTGAATTTTAGTTGAGTGCCAAGAGACAAATGTTACTATTATGGTCTGAAAAAGGAAAAGGTGACAAAATTTTCCATGACACACATTAGCAACCTGTCTGTGTGAATTGCTTGTTTGATAGTGAGAATGTCACATGTTTGTGCAGAGAAGAAAAGTGGGGTCGATTCACATTGGTTTAGAATAAGTCAATTAATGATAATTAGAATTGTTATAATTACTTTATTGTAATTATTTTTTGACGCTATAATTAATTTTTATTTATTTATTTTTTAAGGACATGACAGGATAATACATGCAATAAGTTCAAACAGTTCTTTGGGTCATATTTTATCAAACACTTTTGAATGCACTAAAGGAGCAAATTGGTTAGAAGACAAATTTGTTATTGGAGTTTTTTACTCAGTGTTATATTGTTTGACACAAGGCTATAGTAATGTGACACTCAGTGAGGAGCTGGACAAATCATATATGCAACACATTTTTTTAAAAATTTCAATTTATTTCTTTCAAATCTTATTTTAAGAAGTGTTTAGAGGTAATTTGAAATTTCAATTAAGTTGTCATCAGGGTCACGTACATAGACAGAAATAATTGGCCCATTGGCACCAGTTCGTTCAACAGGTCCTTCAAGAACTGAAACTTGGCAAACCTGAAAAGATATGATTTTGTAAATCTTACAAAATTTACGTTCAGGTGCAAACAGCATTTACTACTATTACAATTAGTAGGATATTTAAAAACAACAACAATTAAAACAACAACAATTAAAAACAACAAAAGAAGCAGTAGATTGGTGAATGAAGTCAGGTAGGCTGTGCATCTAGACACATTTGATGCCAGAAATTTAAAATTTTCAGTTAATCATCTTTGCATTTTCAGCATTTTTGTCTTTTTTTTCTGAGTAAAAACAATTTCTTAATGATTGTTTTTGCAAATAAAAATAACATTTCTAGATACAATATTTATGCATAAGTGAAGTTAACAAACCCAACTGGAATTTGAACTTGGCTCTTTTATTTCTCATTCTGAACCACTATCCATTACACCACCTGCACATCCAGTAGTTTTAAGGTGAAATTCTGTTTGAAAGTGAACATAAATTAGTGCACTTTCTATAAATTTTTGCCTTATTTTCTCTTTTAATTAGAATTTCTTATAACTATTTTTTTTTAAAACAATATTTAATTAATATTATGGTATCATAGATAGAATGTTTAAATCACTTGAATGAACCAGAATTTGTTGAGACTTGGATCTGGTGATTTGCAGCACAAGCTAGGGCCAAAAAATTGAAAGTTGGGTGGAAGGGAGAAAATGAAATAACTGACTACTTTCTAGCTTCAGCAGGTTGTGAAACTATAATGAAAATTTATGTTATGGTATGCCCTAAACAATTGGATAAGTTGATTTTTGTTGAAATTTCAGAAATTATAAAAAGAAGTTGACTAATGATCGCATGATGTAGAACAACACAATACAGCAAATAACAGCAACAACTAAAAAATCAACCTGAAACAGGGATTTATATTATAGACTGTAATAAATGTCACAAGAAAAAAATAGGTGGAGCTTCTAGAAGCTTAAATGAAAGAATATAAGAACACAAAAGGGATCTTTTAAGAAACAACTCTTAATGTATAAGTTGTTCATCATAAACTTTCCAATGTAAAGAATGTAGTTTTAATTAAGAGAAAATAATTTAAGGCAAAAATGTGTAGAAAGTGTACTATTTTTTTAATCTTTCACACAAAATTTATGTCCATACAAAGCCAGTGTAGACTACCCCGAACCTCCCACTATATAAAATTTATATCCAGGCAGATCCAGTGTGGACTACCCCCAAACCTTGCATGATATAAAATTTATGTCCAGGCAGAACCAGTGTGGACTACCCCCAAACCTTGCATGATATAAAATTTATGTCCAGGCAGAACCAGTGTGTACGACCCAAACCTCCCACTATATAAAATTTATGTCCAGGTAGAACCGGTGTAGACTACCCCGAACCTCCCACTATATAAAATTTATATCCAGGGAGAACCAGTGTGGACTACCCCAAACATCACATGATGTAACATTTATGTCCAGGCAGAACCAGTGTGGACTACCCTGAACCTCCCACTATATAAAATTTATGTTGATGCAGAGTCAGTGTGGACTACCCCAAACATCCCACTATATAAAATTTATGTCTCGGAAGAGTTGGTGTGGACTACCTTGAACCTCCTACTATATAAAATTTATGTCTCGGAAGAGTTGGTGTGGACTACCCTGAACCTCCCACTATATAAAATTTATGTCAATGCAAAGCCGGTGTGGACTACCCAAAACCTCCCACTATATAAAATTTATGTTGATGCAGAGTCAGTGTGGACTACCCCAAACATTCCACTATATAAAATTTATTTCTATGCAGAGCCGGTATGGATTACCCTAGACCTCCGACTATATAAAATTTATGTCCAGGCAGAACTGGTGTGGACTACCCCAAACCTCCCACTATATAAAATTCACTATTTTTTATCTATTATGTTGAATGTGTTAAAATTCTTTAACTTTGTAACACGTGAAATCTCATTGTTGATTTATTTTATATGGAATGATCTATTATGGTGATTTTCTAAGAATAGCTTATATGCGGCACAAGGCCGAAAATATGGGACACCCAGTGATGATCGAACTCACTACTACTTGTAAGTGTGCTAGTGAGATAGGCTTGCTAACCATTACACCACATCGAGGTGCACTAGAATGATCTATTATGATATGATTCTAATTTACTTTTAGATACATTGTATTTATTTTCAATTTTTATAGTTGAATTGTTCACCTATATTGCATATGATCCATTATCATACATAATTAGGTTACAATAAAATTTGTATTTTATACGAATACTTCTTTATGAAAATTGAGATGTAGTAGATTAGAATGACCCTGTATCATAGATTCAGGGCAGAGGGGGTGAGACCCTTGCACTGGCCTTGTATCCAGGTTTATAGAGCATTTCACCTTAAACTATTACTATTACAATTAGTAGGATATTTAAAAACAACAACAGAAGCGGTTGGAAGCTAAATGAGATTGGCTAGGTTGTGCATCTAGACACATTGAACATTAATTTTTCACTTTTTTTAGAAAATCAACATTGCACCCGATGTTAAAGCTGGGGTTTGATGTGATACGTATTGGCACCAAAAATTAGATTAAGAGCTTTTACCAATTTTTGAGTATTTAGTTTTAAAGATCATCTGAAAAAATGTACAGAAATACTCAATTTCTGCAGGTTTTTGCTTACAATCTGACTAAAATTTTACTATTTCAAGAATAAATCCAAATAAAGTTGGTATCTTTTGTATTAAATACATTCAATTGAAAATATATTCAAATCAGAATTCTAATTATGAATCACCACAAGCAAAATATGCAATTTTTTTTACTATTTCACAATAATTTTCTAATAATGTGCTTATGCCATAAATTTTGTCCATATACAATTTGTAAAGCTTTAGTAAATTATAAATTTTATAAGGCAGTTCTAAATTTTGTAAGCTTTCACTGATCACCAGAATGTAATTCCAACACTATGGTTTTGAATCTTTTAAACTCGTTTCCTCAAAAAATAGTAACAATTTGAGGAAAAAATATTTTGTGTCATTAAACCAGAAGTTATCTAGGAGTGGACTATAAATTGCCAAGAGGAGTCGCAGTGTGTCGTCATAAAGATGGAAAAATTGTAGCTAATAGAAGGGACACAAGTTGATACCCAATCAGTATCAGCTGAGTCACCGTGGAGAGGGGGTATGATGTTGAAAGACCCGAAACCCCTAATGAACCTTGGCTAGAAACATCAGATGATGTGTACCAAATCATCCAATAGATGTATTTTACAAAATGTCAAACCCCAACTTTCAAATTGAGTGCAATACCACAGTTCAAAAATCCAACTGCCTTATTTGACACTAGAAACTTTAAATTTTCAATTAAGCATCCTTGAGTCATCAAAATTTCTCTTCATGTTTAATTATAACTGATATTTATTATATTTAAGAAGCTGAGTGATGTCAGCTTGGCTGTGCATCTAGACACCAGAAATTTAAAATATAATTTAAAGTTAGTTCCTGCATCTTCAGTGTTTCTTACAGTGTTTAATTATGACCAACATTTTTGTTTATATTTTTGTTCCCTCCCATTACATATGGTTCCATCAATAAAAACATTATTCAGCCTGAAGAAGACCTTTTGAAAAATGAAACACATTACATAGTACTTTTTTTCCATTTTGTCATTCAATGACCCACTATATCAAGGTATATAAAAAATATTTTCATTTATTTACAGACCTTTACTTCAAAGTTCATTTTTTGTATACATCTACAGTGAGCTATGATAAGTTTTTAGCCACACTTAATTACAGCAATTTTGGCTTGTGTAATAACTTATCTTCTTCTTTTCAGATAATACCGTGTTAGTATCAAGCTACTCTAATCTATGAACGATAGTTGACTTATATTTTGCAATGAAAGTTCGTGGAAGTAAGAAAATTGGTGAATTTCAATGAGGGCAAATAATAGGATGGCATCAGTGTGGCAAGTCAAATAAAGAAATTGCTAGGTTTTTCCAGGTTAATCATCAAACAGTTAATAATATTGTCAAGAAATTTAAGGAAGAAGGCCATTGTTGTGTGGAACAACGTTCAGGAAGACCAAGCTGAGTGAATGTAAAGAACACTGAAGAAGGAAGTCATCGGAAACCACCGTCAGAGTGTCAAAGATGTTGCCAACAGCAATTTCATCTAATATGTGCTGTGAATATCAAATTTTCCAAGCCATCTTTCCTCATTAAGTGCCTTAGAAATTTCAATTCTTTCTTTCTAAAGTAAAGTATAAGTGTCCTTTTGGTTTCGATTTTCTCTAAAACTTTGTCGTTTCTCACATGTTTAGTCTATGATATTCTCAGCAACCTTCTGTAGAACCACATTTCTGTTGATTCAAGTTTCTTCTTCATCTGCAAGATTGTCCAGTATCCACTGACTGATATTATGTAATAGTTCTGTACTCTTTTCTTTGTTTCTAATTTGTAGGGACATTATTATTATAAATAAATAAATTTTAAAACATAAAATAATAATAATAATGAAAATTATGAATAAAATAAAACAATAGCATAAAAATGTTATATAAAATAAATGAAATAAAATTAAAAATAATAAAAATACTCCTGCTGGAAATACAGACATTTCGCCAAAAGATGTTAAATTCAATCTCTTCACCACAAACCTTCGTGTGGGTAACATGTCTGTAACTTCTCCCTGTGATATGGCATGTAATAATACAAAGTAACTTCTTCCTCTCATTACATATACCATGACACAATTGTAACCTAAAAAAAATATACACACCAATACATACAAGAAAAATATAAATAAATTGTATGGAATTAACATACCATTTACCATGCTTTCCTGTTATTTCTGTATGTTTTATTCCCTGTCAAGTATGATTTATCTCCATAAACACAAGGCTAATTTCTACTGCTATGATGTGAGTGATGCCACAGATTAAATTTTTCTGTTTCTTAATACTTTGCTTAGCTTTTGGAAGGCAATTGTCACTATGCCAATGCTCCTTCAGATTTTAGTGTCGCACT